TCTGTCCCTGCAGCCATCTGTTTGGGAAGAGGAGGGAGGGCAGTGTTTTGTATGACTTAGTTCCTTTTTTTTTTTTTTTTTTTTTGGTAGTGAGTGTGAGGTCCTGCGATTTTATTTTCCTTTTTTTTTTTTTTTTTTTTTTTTCTTTATTGTGAAGAAAAATCTATTCAATCTATCAACAGTTTTTTTTTTTTTTTTTTTTTGATTATCCCAGTGATTTGAGTGTTTGTGGTCAGGCCGCTTTTTTTTTTTTTTTTTTTTTGCAGCCCAGAGGAAGACAGAGCCCTGAGGCCTCGTGGGCACGAGGCGATGAAGCACGTGGACTCTGGGGTCCGCCTGCCTGGATCCCAGCAGTGATCTTTTTTTTTTTTTTTTTTTTTTGACCTTGGGCTAATGACCTCAAAGTCATGGTTTTCTTTTTTTTTTTTTTTTTTTTTTTAATATGGCTCTTGTGAAAATTAGGTAAGATGATGATGCTTTTTTTTTTTTTTTTTTTTTATCATGGGGACTTTGTCACTGTCATTTTCCATTTGCAGTTTTTTTTTTTTTTTTTTTTTGAGTTTCCAAAATGCATGTCTTGCATGTCACTTTCAGTTTTTTTTTTTTTTTTTTTTTTCGAATGTAGTTTTCCTGTGTTGTTAGCATTCGGTGCTGTTTTTTTTTTTTTTTTTTTTTATGGCGGAGTACAATGAGGCACAGACTCTGTTTCGGGATTTTTTTTTTTTTTTTTTTTTGCGCCAGCTGGAGATAAGTGAGTAATGGAGACTCCGTCTTTTTTTTTTTTTTTTTTTTTTCCCTTAGGGTCTCACTTCAAATGACTTTAACTTCAGATTTTTTTTTTTTTTTTTTTTTTCACCAATACTGTAAAACCCAAAGACCACTTGTAGCTTTTTTTTTTTTTTTTTTTTTTTACCTGTTCTTCAGGAAGTCCTAAGCGGTGGGGTTTACCTTTTTTTTTTTTTTTTTTTTTAGAGTTTCAGGGAGATTGGGAGAGTGTTCAATCATTTCTTTTTTTTTTTTTTTTTTTTTCTCAGTCCCATCCTGCCCTGGTTCGGGGGCATCTTCGTGGCTCCCCACAGCTCTCTTTGTCCGTGAGCAGAGGCAGCAGCCCTACTACCCCAGACTCTTTTTTTTTTTTTTTTTTTTTACCATTGGCCATGGCAGTGGACATGGCGCCTTCTTCGGTTTTTTTTTTTTTTTTTTTTTGGATAAAGGTTGGTCAGGTTTGCAGACTCCCCATTGTGTTTTTTTTTTTTTTTTTTTTTCAGGTCCTTCAGACACACAGACCCACTGTGAGGATGTCTTTTTTTTTTTTTTTTTTTTTTCCCCATGAGACTGGGGGCTGTGGACAGCTGCTCATGAGCCTCAGGTTGCCTGCTGTGCTGTGAATAGGAAAGCCCTTTGTCCCTGACCTGGGGCCTTTTTTTTTTTTTTTTTTTTTTCGGAGTCCTGGCAGGCCAGCCTGTCAGCTCGCAGGTCATTTTTTTTTTTTTTTTTTTTTCAGCTCCCAATGCTGCACGTCCCCCTCGGAGAATGTTGTCATACACCCGCCAGGCTGCAGGCTGCTTGACCTTGTCCCCCAGCTCAGCGAGGCTCCTTTTTTTTTTTTTTTTTTTTTTCAGTGTGTTTGGTTTTGGTCAGTTTCTCTTCCTTGTGTTTTTTTTTTTTTTTTTTTTTTAGTGTATGTTTCATCTGAGACGCCGTGGTTTCTGCTGCTTTTTTTTTTTTTTTTTTTTTGTGGCTCCCGTGTTGCTCCCCACTGTACACCTGGGACGTTTTTTTTTTTTTTTTTTTTTTCTTTGTCTGCCAACTCCAGTGTCCTGTCTGCTCTGGTTTTTTTTTTTTTTTTTTTTTTGTGGCTTGTGTTTTCCTGCTTCTTTGCAAGCCTGGTAATTTTTTTTTTTTTTTTTTTTTTTGTGAATGTTACTTTGCTGGGTGGTGGGTATTTCTGTTTTTTTTTTTTTTTTTTTTTTCTCCTTGGCCTTTGTTTTAGAATGTAGTTAAATCACATTTTTTTTTTTTTTTTTTTTTTATCTTGTGTTTAAAGGAAGCAGAGAAGCTTTATTTGCATTTTTTTTTTTTTTTTTTTTTGACGCAAGACCCTTCTGAGTACCTGCTCTGATGGCTGTGAACCTCATGGCACCCTCATCTGCCTGGCAGCGTGTTCCCTCTGGCATGCCAGTCAGCCTTTTTTTTTTTTTTTTTTTTTTGTGCAGCTCGCTGTCTGCATCTCTCTCATCTCTCACATTTTTTTTTTTTTTTTTTTTTGCCTTGGTCTCCCCTGAGCTCTGTGCCTTTGCCTGAGGACCTCCCCTGGGCTCCCCTGGGCCCTGTCTGCTCTGTGGCCTACACGAGAATTCCACCTTTTTTTTTTTTTTTTTTTTTTCTGGCTTGTTTCCATCTGTGGGGAATCTGTGTGTGGCCTGACGCTCAGGGTCTTGAAATCATTGTTTTGTAGATTTTGGTGGGTTTGTTGTTGTTATTTTTTTTTTTTTTTTTTTTTTGGTCCCTGTTGCTCCATCCTGGCAGAAATGCTCCATCATTTTTTTTTTTTTTTTTTTTTTCCGTGAAAAGTTTTTACAAACCGCTTTGACTTCAGGGATCTGTTAGTCCTTTTTAAAGTGAAAGTCATCATTACAGGCAGCTGGTTGCACTGTGAGTTTTTTTTTTTTTTTTTTTTTTGGTGAGCACTTCCTAGCACAGTGTCCCCCAGCCTGGGTTTTTTTTTTTTTTTTTTTTTCTCCTGCAGGTCCATCCTGTCTTCACTCCCCGTGAATCTTTTTTTTTTTTTTTTTTTTTTGTCTCTTCTCTCTTTCCCACATTATTCTATCTTAGCCTTTTTTTTTTTTTTTTTTTTTTCTTCTCTTGCAGTCGTGCTCTGTCGAATGCAGTACTGTTTTTTTTTTTTTTTTTTTTTCAATGAAGTATCATATACATGGTGGGAGTTTTTTTTAGTTTTTTTTTTTTTTTTTTTTTATTCTAAACCCTCCATGTGGCTATTCCGAAGTGAGCAGTTTTTTTTTTTTTTTTTTTTTAAGGCTGAGCGAGCAGAGAGGCCAAAGAAAGAGGCTAATTTTTTTTTTTTTTTTTTTTTAAACACTGAATAGGGACGTACGAACTCAAGCCCCCAAGTTTTTTTTTTTTTTTTTTTTTACAGCCGCCTGCCCTCCAGAAGGCGTTCTTTATAAAGCTTTTTTTTTTTTTTTTTTTTTTGCAGCCAGCCCTGTCTTCAGACTTGCTTGGGGCTCAGGCTGGATGAGCATCTTGATGAGAGGTTGCCTGCGCCACAGGCATTGTCTTCAGACCTCGTTTTTTTTTTTTTTTTTTTTTACGAGTCAAACATCGGCCGTCACGGCAGTTTTCCTTCATTTTTTTTTTTTTTTTTTTTTACAGCGGGATGTCCTCCTGCAGTGGTCTTTTCCATATCTTTTTTTTTTTTTTTTTTTTTTCCCCTTTCTTTCTTCCTTCAGTCAGCCCTGTGGTCAGTTTTTTTTTTTTTTTTTTTTTACAGGATCTCTTTCCCTGTGCTGTGTGCTTTATTTCTTTTTTTTTTTTTTTTTTTTTTTCTTGTACCAGGGCACGTTAGACAGGCCCACAGTGCTTTCTCTGGAATGGTTGGGGCTGTGTGTGTTTCAGAGTTCAGAACGGTTCAGGTTTTAGGAATTTTTTTTTTTTTTTTTTTTTTGTATTATGTACTCCCCAGGTGGAGTCTAGGACGGCAGCCTGTAATCAGGCACATTCACAGAGCTCTCCAGAGAAAGGTGAGTATTCACAGTAAGTGTTTTTTTTTTTTTTTTTTTTTAGCCATGACTCAGTTTAGGTCAGATTTTGCCGCTCATTTTTTTTTTTTTTTTTTTTTTTGAGAAAACCCAGGTTTCATAATGTTTTGGATTTCAGCATTTTTTTTTTTTTTTTTTTTTCGTACGCTGCATTTCACATGCCATAACCCCAGGCTGTGTTTTTTTTTTTTTTTTTTTTTAGTGGGAAGAGCTTTGTGAACGTGAGACATGAGCTGTATTTTTTTTTTTTTTTTTTTTTTTTTTTTTTGAGAGTCTCACTCTGTCACCCAGGCTGGATTTTTTTTTTTTTTTTTTTTTTTATTGTGGCCTCCAAGGGATCCTCCCACCTTAGCCTCTTTTTTTTTTTTTTTTTTTTTCACCACCATACCTGGCTAATTTTATTTTTTGTACAGATTTTTTTTTTTTTTTTTTTTTTAAGCTGAAATTTCTAGTTTTGATGATTATATTTTACATTTTTTTTTTTTTTTTTTTTTTTTTTAAAAAAGCAAAGCAAAACTGAGAGAATCTCCTTATTTTTTTTTTTTTTTTTTTTTTTAAAATTTTATTTTATTTTATGTTTTGTAGAGATGGGTTTTTTTTTTTTTTTTTTTTTTAGTCTCAAACTCCTAGCCTCAAGCAATCCTTCCACCTTTTTTTTTTTTTTTTTTTTTTTTATGCATGTAAACCACCATGTTTGCCCTTAAATAGATTTTTAAATGATTGAGAATTACCTCCCAAAAAACAGTGTAAGTAAACAAATTTTGCAATTTTTTTTTTTTTTTTTTTTTTTATTAAATGACATCTCAACCACTTTATTTAGAAGTAAATTTTTTTTTTTTTTTTTTTTTTTTGGGGCATACAATTAATTCAGTGGTTTTTGGTATATTTTTTTTTTTTTTTTTTTTTTTAACACTTTTATCACACCAAAAGGAAATTTCACACCCACCACCAGTCACTCTGCATTTCCTCTTCTCCTAGCCCAAGGCAACTGCATTCTACTTTTTATTTTTTTTTTTTTTTTTTTTTTGGATGTTTCATATAAACGGAATGATACACTGTGTGTTTTTTTTTTTTTTTTTTTTTTTCTGTAACACAGTTTTTGCAAGGTTTCACCACGGGGTGGTTTTTTTTTTTTTTTTTTTTTGTATACTAATCCCAACACGTTGGTTGGGAATCCAGGGTTTTTTTTTTTTTTTTTTTTTTGAGTTTAAGACCAGCTTG